AATAAAATACTGGATTTATTAATATTATATATATAAATATATTATAACTTAAGTGTCTCTAAATGTATTAGATATACATATATGGTACATCGATTAAAAAACCACACGGTATGATTATGCTTATAATACTTACAAAAAATTAACATATTTAACACTTTTTCTATTTGCCTTTTCTACATGCAACTGTATACACACATTGAATTAATTGGCCTTGTCAAAATTACGATTAAACACATGTGTATAATATAGTGACGTGTTGTATTGTACTGTTTCCTGAACCCCTCGCGACATAATATTTTGAATATGAAAGAGGGTGAATGGAAGGTTATACCGACCAGTTTTATTCAATTCATCGAATTTGCATTAAAAGCCATTACCAAAAATATTATTCCCGATTCAAGTAAAGAATTGTCTGACTTATTGTAATTTTATATAAAACTAATACAATTGTTGTCATTTATGTGAACTGAGCATTTTATTTCTCAAATATTAACACAACAAACTAGCTACATAATAGACTACCGAGCTCATGTGCCTATACTACAGAGGGAGCACATAACATACGTACTTATCAAGCCAATATAATATTATAATAACAATGGTCCGAACAAAATATGATTTTTATAAATAGATGTTTACCAAAATTTTGTGTAATACATTTTTTGTTAAATGCACGAGACAAAAATTCATTGTTCGTTTAAATTTAAATAATACCACACCTTTAAACCGCGTCACCGCAGCTGATATCCACTGCAATATATTATTGCAATATGTGCGTCGTATTTTCTTATATACCTCTAAAACTCCCGTGTCACAATGTTCGTCCGAAACTACTGGACCTATCTCGATGACATTTTTTACAATATTTGGTACAACTCAAAACAATATAGGATAGTTTTTTATCTCGATTAAGGCCCTCAATATTGTTTTTATTGCAATAATAATTGTAATTATTAGTTTTTTTTTTTTTTTTATTTATTAAAATAGAAAAAAATATACAATCTGTATAACACAATACAATAAGTAATTTAGATGATTATTAGTTATAGAATTTTCTAGAAAGATTCACAATGTTCGAGAATAGGGAGTGACGTCGTATTAAATGTTCGCTAGTGCTTCGTTTTAGAAATTTTGACGTTCAAACGTAAAAAAGGCGAAGTTCGGTACGACATATTCATCAGTATTATTTAGTTGTGACCTAATGGAGGATACCTATATTATGTAAATTGAGTGATGTGTGAATGGTATAGCGAATTGAAGACCTTGGACCATTTAACCTATAAGCAAGTATACAGTTTTATGTCTTGTCTCCGAAATTACTAATAAACTACGAATAAAAAAAAAAACTTATTTTCTCGCATATGATAAATTATTATAAACACACTAATATACATGGCCTGCGAAAATCCCAAAAYAGAAAACTAATATACGCGGGCAACGCTGGGTCGGGACAGATGTATTATAGTACAATATTATATTATTATTACCACTAATTATTGAAATATTTCATAACGACAATATGATTTGTTATGTTATGATATCGTTTAGACGATCGCGGATGCACTGACCTGTAGATGAGTTTGCGGCGTACGCTCCTCTTRAAGAACCCGCTGCAACCGTTGCACGCCAATATGCCGTAGTGCTTTCCGCTTGACGTGTCGCCGCACACTACGCATGTCAGCCCCAGTGTCTTGGTCTTGGCCACGGCTTGGCCACCCGCCGCCGCGTAATGTCCCGTGGCCGTGGCCACCGAGGTCGGCGGCGTTCTGGACGCGGACACCGGCACCTGTTGGCCGGCACAAGCGCCCGACATGCAGAGCGACAGCGGCCTGTCCCTCATGGGATAACTGGAATCCGTGTCTGTGGAAAACATA